AGCCCACGCTGGAGTTCAGTGGCATGATCTCAGCTCTCTGCACCCTCCACCTCTTGGGTCCTGGTTCAAGCAATTCTCCTGCCTCAGCCTCCTGAGTAGCTGGGATTACAGGCGTGCGCCACCACGCCCAGATACTTTTTGTATTTTTAGTAGAGATGGGGTTTCACAATGTCGGCCAGGCTGGTCTTGAACTCCTGACCTCATGATCCACCCAACTTGGCCCCCCAAAGTGCTGGGATTACAGGCCTGAGCTACTGCGCCTGGCCTCTTTTTTGCTTTCAAAAGAAATTCCTCCCTAAACTCCACATCGCTCTTTTATTAACTTTGTTTTCTTTTTTTCCGTGACATAGCTTTCAGGAGATCTTGAGAACATGTGTCCTTTTTTATTTTTGTCCCATCTTATTAACTTTCAATCCCTTTTTCTAAATCTCTTGAGGGAATTGTTCTACACCATATCATCATCTCCCAACCACACCTCAACCTTCAGTGTAATCTGGATTCTCTCCTTAAGCTCAAATGAAATTTACTCTCAGGAAGCTCACCAATTATCACACTGCTTTTAGGTCTATAGGCAATTTTTGTTATCTTGTTTTTCTCTGAAGTATTTGGTTCTGTTGATGCTCCTTCCACTCATTATTTTTTATTTCCCTTGGTTTCTAGGACACCAAACTTAACTGCTTTTCCTCTTATCCTTCTAGTCAGCCTTCTCAGGTTAACTCTTCAGCTTATCTTGTCCTTTCTTTTATCTGAATTTAAGAGTTTGATCATTTACCTCTTTCTTCATCTCAATCTGTACATTCATTGAAGGATCTTGTCTACTTTCTAGCTTCTGAAGCTACAGGAATCACCATCTGCAGCCCAGATTTTTTAATGACTGTTACACCTACATTTCTAATGGACTATTCCGATCTCTGTTGTCTGCCTCACAGATACCCAAGATTCAACATAATCAGGACTAAAGTCATCTTCATTCCCACAAAACACTTATGTTTTATTATCTTAGTTAACAGTGTCATCAGGCAAAGTTGTCCAAGCAAAAAAAGTGAAGCATGTCCCTTGACCACTCTCTCTTCTTCACTGCACTTGTATAAAATGGATCCTCAGGTTCTGTGGTTTATGTCATATATGTGACATAAAAATGTGGCATAAACCACAGAGCTTGAACAATTTTATATGAGTGTAGTGCATACATATATATATCTGTATCTATCTATGTCTCAGATAAATTCTTTACTCACAGTCCCTACTCCCACTAACCTTGTTTCAGACATCAACATTTCTTTCTGGGAGGGGCTAAATGACTGAAATGAGAAGACATTAAAAATGGCTTCTTTGTCTCTAGCCTTCCTCTCTTCATGCTCACTGCCATACATTCACCGCACTATAATCAGATAATTTATTCCTAAATTGCAAATGTGAAAATAATTCTTGATTAATCTCATTGCCCTCAAGATAAAATCCAAACTTTTAAATATGGTTTAACAGGTCATTTGTGATTGGCCCCATTTATCTCTCCAGCCTCATTTCCTACTCTATTTGCATTGCATCATCTCGTGGGATCAGGCAAATTTTGGCTTCTGGAATGTGCTCTCTTCATGCTCTGGCATTTAACATTGTATTTCTTCCTACATGAAGTATTCTTCTTTCAATTCTTCATGAGATTACCCTCTTTCCCCCTTCAAATTTCAGCTTGTCACCTTGTTTCCTTACTTGCTTGTGAAGGCCTTTCCTGTCATCCCCCACCCTGCCTCCCGCTCTGCTCCTGGATCCACACTTGGTGAAGCAGGCTGTGTTCTCACCTCATGTCCCGCTCCTGAGGCCATATTGGGTGAAATGCCCTGTGTCTCACCTTCACAGCACTGAATCATAACAGCTGAGTTACTTACCTGTGCTATTCACTAAACTGTCAGAGGCACACAGCAGGGCCTTGGTTTTCCAAATCACTGAATGTTACAGGGCCTGGTGCTTAGAACACAGTAGGTGCTCCAAAAGTGCTTGAAAACATTTACTTAGTTTTTCTCAACTGTTTACTTCACTCAAGGAAGGTATCATATAGACTTTTTATCAGAAAGGAATAAGCTTTTATTTTGAACCAGTAAAATAGAGCTCTTATCAATATTTATTAGTGATTCCTTTAGTCATTTCACTATCAACTTATTTGACTCTTAATAAAAAGCATTAACCATGAGACAGAGAAATGTCTGTATATTTCAGGAACACAGGAAGCAAAAAGAACCTGGTGTCTAACTTCCTCAAGTACAGGCTTTCTGAGTTTTAACGTCTTTGTTTCTTTTTCTATGAGGAGGGAGAGAGAGTTAGATAAATACAGATAAATCGTTTTTAGTGTAATAGCTTACTACTATTTTCCTAGTTTCCCGTAGCCCTTCGTAGAATTAAGTTTGGATGATAATTACTGATAACATCAGGTGGCAA